GGACTCGGGCAGAAAAACGCTCTTTTTTGCGCTGACGTGTCGGCGCTCGGCATCTCTCCCCGGCTGGGCCCTGGTCGACCCCTGCACCATGTCTCTGTTCGCTCCTGCCCGAGGACCGGCCGCCCTCTCCCACCCCCCGCTGTCCCGCGAAGTGCCGCAGCCCCCGCCCGTCACAGCACGATCCATCCCGTGGGTATCCCTATGCGGGTCACGCACCAGGATGGAAATCCCCTCGCTACCAGAGACAATTAGTGCAGGACCTACCGTAAACAAGGCTTGAGCTCCCCTTGCTGGTCCTGCAATAACAGTCCGAAATCAACTTCTGGGAGGCACCTTCCTCAGGCAATTTGGGAATGGAATCATTTTCATTCGAGGGAACTTAACGCAAGCCCGTTATTTTCAGCCCCTTTGGAGACAGAGGGGAAAAAGTCATAAAGAAGCGGAGCCCATGGGGAAAACAGAGAGACTTGTCCAGTCTTTTAAAAGCCTTTTTACAAGCTGCAGAAGATAAAAACAAAAATCAAAGTCCAGCCAAGCAAAATTTGGCGATGTCCTCCATCCTGCTTGCGTGACTGAAGAACCTCATGTCCCGACAGCAGAGCAGCTGGAGAAGGAGGATGGAGGAGGGCCGGTGCGCCGGTCGGGACGGGGTCATTGCTGCTGGCTCCTACCGGGGGCAGGACGGCCGTGGGCAGGGGCTGCCACACCCCAGGTTCTGATGGGCCAAAGACTCTGCCCAGCTCTGCCTGGCCACCAGCGAGGAAGAGCATTTGCAGAGAAAGCTCGTCGGCTCTCCGTGTGGGTGAAACACCAAGCTGGGCTTTAATACCAAGTCTTGTAGCCCCTAAAACACTGAAGCAGCAGAGCTAACACCTGAGATGGTGAAAATCAAGGGAGATGCTGTAAGATATGTGCTGCCTAGTGGATGAGGATTCCAGGTCTTTGCTCTTCCAACCTCCCAGAGCTGCCAAGCCTCTGGAGTGAAATATAGGGACTCTGGAAAACACCTGAGGGGGGATTCTCAGCATCAGCCTCAGGAACTGTATTGGGAAAGGCTGAGGGCCAGGGCTGCAGCGTGGTATCACTGTGGGAACAAAGGCCTCTGTACCTCAAACAAGACATGGGGTCTGACCAGAGTTTTGTTTAACTCCACTTTTTCCACAAGGAGGAAACATCCTCAGCTCATACACCCGGAAACACCACAAGCTGTGAAGACCTCAGCACAATTAAGACTTCTGATGTTCAAACAGCCTTTTCTGTCTGGGATGGGATGTGTTTGAGCCTCAGCTTCTGGCTTCTGGCTCTGTCTCTGGCTTTGATCCTACTGCTCACATTCCCCTGCCCTCTCCTCTCTCTGCAGCATCCACGAGGCCCTGGATTTTCCCCCAGTCTGAACTGTGGGTTTTGTGGGATGTTGATCACAGCAGAGGTGCAGAAAGTGACACTAAAAAATGGTTTGTGTTCTTCCCAGCCTGCAGAGCCAGTACTTTAGTTATGACTGATGATCCACGATGAAGATATTTTAAATTAATTTCCTGAACAGACATCTTACAAGAATTTTGTTTACCTGGTCCTCAAATGTTTCATTTAAAATGGATGGAATGTGAATGGATTTTCCGGGTGTGCATGTGCACGACTGCACATGCTGGTGCTTAAGGATCTATGTATTTTAAACTTTATACTTGGTTGCCAAAGTCATTGCACTGAGTTCTAGAGATGTCCTTTTGTCAACTTGAATTTGATATGGGTTTCAACTTTATTTTCCCATTCTCCCAATAACACTTATTGAGGTAATTTGTCTCTGTAAATGGTTTATAAAGGGTGAATTTAAAGTCCCCTACAGGTATTTATAAGGGACCTTTCCCGTAGGCTGAGGTCTGAGTTGTGGATGTCATGAGCAGTTTGGTCTTACAGTTCAAGTCAATTTAAAAACACGACTCCAGTGTGTGTCACAGAACAGGTGCTTTGTCTGGCCTCATCAGGAGCAGAGTGAGCTCTGATTCAGGCAGGAGGAGATGCTGAGGAGATCTGATCCAGCACAAGATTTCAATGCATCTTCATCTCAAAGTGTATAAACAGTCCCAGTGAAATCTAGGAAATACTCCCGTGCTTAAGGTTAAGGATTCACTTAAGTGCTTTGCTGGATCCGTACCAAAATCATTCTTTACAAAGTGCTGTCAAAAACACTGGGCACCAAGAAAATAATTTTCCTGATAAAATCCGTTGGCTCAGAATGTCCCATGTGACTGCTCAGAACTGCAGCAAACAACATTTTTCAGAGAGATAGGGGCCATTCCATTAAAAATTTCCCTCCAGACCCAAAAGTAACAGCTGGTCCTTTGTTTCATTGCCCCCAAAAAAAGTCAACACCAGGTGATCTCTAGGAGCCATGGAGAGCTCAAATGTTATCACAGTCCTGTGGAGCTCGCCAGGAGCAGAATCAATCATTTTTCACCATTAATCTTTAGTAAAATGAGTCCAACGGTTTTACCTCCGTTCCTTGAAGCCAGTTGCAAGCATAAGCCCTTAGCCAGTCACATAAGGAATTACCCTGGTGGTACTCCTGGTTTTGTGCCATCCCAGCTGTGAGATGTCTGTGATACACCTTCCTTGTCAATGTCCCCTAAATGCTGAGCTAACGGAGCCCTTTCCAACCAAAACAGCCTGAATAGGAAAAAGAGGAATTGTTCCTGCGGGGCATTTAAGATAATGGCAAAGATTCAAAAAGTTGAATCCAAGCACAAGCATTATATCCCACTCTCCACTGAGGCAGAAGCAGCTGGATGAGTCAGAGGCACTTCAAGCCTCAGTGGTGCTTGTGCAGGTTGGGACATGTCACTGCTCCCACCTAGTTGTGACAGGGAAGTGAGGACTCAATGGCAAGGAAGACCAGGTAATTTAGGGGAAAGAAACATGCACATAGGTGAGAGAGGCTGGTTTGTACTCTTCTGGATGCTGTGGCCAGGCTGTGAGCCCATTAGGCTCCAGGGACTGGAGGAGCAGCCAGCCTGGCCCTCCCACCACCGAGACAGGAGCCTGCAGGACACCACGCTGGTTACTGCTGCCTCCCACAGCTTTTCCTCATTATCCCATCCAATCTGTTATTCTTAGGCTGCCTTGTGCTACACACCAGTGTTCACTGCTTCTGTGCACTTTCTGAGGCACTACCCTGCCCCTCTGGAATAAGGAGAAAACGTGCTTGGGTAATAAATTAAAGGGAAAACTAGAATAGTGCACCCCCAATAGACACAGTAGAGATAAAAAGTATTGGACAAGAAAAGCCTCACTTAGATGACCTGGAAAAGAAAATCATAAATATGGGTAGTGTAGTGTCTCCAAAGTGCCTCCAATGAATCAAAATTAAGAAACCTCTTGGTGCAGGAGTATGAAGTCACCAGGACAGCTGCAGTACAATATCTCACCCTTACACAGAGGTGAGAATAATTTACAGAGGACTCAGAGAAGCTGGGTGGGTTTATGTTCCCCACGTGTTCTTCTGCAGCACAAAAGTAACTTGCTGGTGAAACAAGTTTTCAGTGATTTACCTCCCTCCACTCTTCAATTACTATTGAAAATGTTTGACTTACAGTACAAAAACCTTTTAGTGACATCATTCCAAGGCAGTAAATCTTGGCATAAGGAAGCCACAGAGACTCCCAGCCCTCTGCACCCAGGGCAGATGTGTAATTTCTGTAATTTCTGTAATTTCTGTAATTTCTGTAATTTCTGTAATGCTGCTCCCATGGACAGCGATATGGGGTGTTTGTTCCTTAGGCTTTACCTTTGCTTCTCCAATTCCAGCCTCAGCAGCACACACATGAGGATGTGCACACACGTAGATCCACACACCTCAGTCTGGTCCCGTCCTGGGAACAGAGGTTACACCAGTGGTTGCAGCCCTTCTCTGACCCATTGGGTCACTGACCAGAGAACAGACATGCTACTAAACAGAGTGTTGGTCTGTGCCTTGCTCAACCAAGAACCAACATTTATTGACTTTAAAATTTTAAATTTTTATCTGGAACTGTATTTCCCAAAACCTCCTTTGCAGAGCTCATTATTGTTCCTTCTGTGATGTTCTCTGGGTACTTAAATAAACTGTTGTTAGGAGTTCACTTGAGGAGTCTCTGCGCTTGCGAATCATTGGCAGATGTTTCATTTTTCTGAAACGTCAAGAAACTGGCAGCTTTACTAACAGAAAAATAAAGGAGAACATTTTTCTTGTTATGTAGCTCCATATTAAACATGAGCAGTGTGCAGTGCCTGCATGTATTTGTGTTCTGTTGTTGTTCAATCTTCCCCCCAAGGAATCCATCCTTTTGATATCCAGCCCTATTTTGAAACAGAGACTAGAAATGCCCTTTCTGTGCACTCCGGTTTTGCAATCCTGACAGATCCCCCAGGGCTGGCCTGGGGTCCACCTTCCCCAGAAAGCCGTGCTCATTCCCAGGATCACTCTCTAACTGTTCCCACTGTGATCCCTGGCAGGTTTGCCGTCCCTCTCCCTGCAGACAGGGAGAGCCGCTGGCTCCTTCCTGCCTCAGGGAGCCTGGGGAATGGCTGCCTGTGCCTCTCCAGCTGGCAGCCAAGCACCACATTTCATTCCTGGTCTCCTCTCCTCCTCCTGAGCCTGAAACCACATTGGCCACAGCTGGCAGGAAGGGGTCAGGGGGGAAAGCCATGCCTCCGTTAGTTCCTGCAGACCTTCCCTTTGCTTATTTTGATGAAGTTTGTTTCATGTTTATTCAATTTAGACACAGTTGTAACCCTTCAGAAACAGTCTGGCACAGCATTGTGTTCTAACTCAGAGACAGCCCAAAATTGACTTTTGGGCTTGTTGGCACCAAATGGGCAACAGCCACTGAGAATATAAACACATTAGATGGTTTTCTCTGCAGCGGCACAGCCCGGGTGTATCACAGAGCTGGTCCAGCACATCAGCACACACTCAGTGTTTCTTTCAGACTGGTATGTTCTGTGATCCCTTAAGCACATGCTCTGCAGTGCCCATCAATTCTGCAAAGAGAAAAGGCTTTTAGCTGTGTTAAAATCTGAGCCAGCTCCATGGATTTAGCAGAGAGAGTGGGCCAATTCATTGTATTTCCAATTCATATTTTTCTCTGCAGAGAATGGGTCTTTTCAATAGATTATCTGCTTTTCTTGCAGACCTTGGTAATGACACTGCAAACGTGTATGGGCTGCCCGTTGGGTAACTGGGACATACTGCCTTATCTGCCTGTCCATCTGCAGGAGAGTGCCAGGTCCTGCCCCCTGTTTACTGACTGTTTGCTGCCTTCATTGTCCTGACTAATTTGGCAAAGTGAAATACAATTCCTTATCCAACTCTATCTTCTTCTCAGCCATATGAGAAAGCTTTCCATGCAAGCAGTGTCATGGAACACTTCCAGTCACTCTTAAGGTGGGACCTTACTGCTCTTGGAAGAAATTATAAATTTTGAGAGGAAAATGCAGGACCAACAGCTGCAGAGGCTGCTATATAATGATAAATAAAGTAAAAAGATGTTGTGGAAAGAATCATCTTCCATGTCCTCTCTGCTCCTCCTTAGGATGGTTAGTGGGCTACTATATTGGAAAAGATGTCTTTTCAAGGAGAAGGAAGATCCTTTTCCTCTGTGTAAGGCTACTGGAATGAAA